GTTGTTGATGTATTTATATATTTTAGCAATGAAAATAAAGTATTTTTTTAATAGAGTATATATTCTGACTTATTCATTAAGAATGTATTATTCACATTAAATAGATACTAAATTTGATAAGTTTCATTATGTATCATCATTTCAAATGAAAAGATAATGATATGCTCAAATAATATAACGATATAATTAAGTATAACTTACATAAATTGCATAGTGTAAAACCTAAATTACATCATATCCCTTCTCTTTTCTATTTTACAAAAATCCCTTAAAAAAGAAGTCATCTGGATACATTAATTATGATACATTATTTTGCGGCTATTGCTCTTAAAAAGGAAAATAACAGAAAAAATCTAATTACAATCCCATAATTTATGTTATTCAGTTCCCTTCTTACTGTCAATCACTGAAACCTAGATCCTAACATAACAAACCAATTCAAAAATCAAAACTCCATATACGTCATCGTTCTTCCTGTTTCGTCGTTCTCCCTATTCATCGTTCTCCCTGTTTCGTCGTTCTCATTGTTCATTGTTCTCCCTGTTTCGTCGAAGAAACTTTCTAAAGCTTAGATATGAATGATACCGGAATGATATGATAGTGGTCGGGGAGAATATTAAGGAAGAGTAAGTGAATCAATTTCAAGATACAAAGATCTGATAAAAAAGGCATGTGATTAGTTGTTTTTAAAATTCTCCATGTTTCGTCTTTCTCGTTGTTCCTCGTTCTCATTGTTTTGTCGAAGAAACTTTCTAAAGCTTAGAAATGAATGATACCGGAATGATAATTTAGGTTCGGGTGAGGTGAGCGCAAATAGTAGTTCAGATTCAAGTTGTGAGTAGAAGAACATTCTTTATTGCAAGATGTTCGTCCACCCGCCGCCTTCGGTCAACTCAAACAAGGATAGTTGTCAGGGAGAATAGTACGGAGAAGTAAGTGAATCAATTTCAAGAAACAAAGATCTGATAAAAAAGGTATGAGATTAGTTGTTTTATACTGTGAATTAATATTTTTGATTTTTCGATACCTAAGTCGTGATATTGTTCATGATACATTGTTAGTCACTACTTTATAAATAAAACAGTTGCATCAGATATGTTAGATTATTAGATTTGTGTATCATTGTTTGGTAATTCTAAAGTATCAAAGACATGTAAAATTCTTCTTCGTTGTTTAATGTATTATTGACGATGCGAGTGTAATTATGGTACATAGGTATGACATGTATCATGTAGTTGTTTGTATCTGAAACATGTAAAATGTTGAGGACAATATGGTCTGCTGTGATTTGTTATAATAATGTATCTAGCATTTTTTTTTTGGAACGATACATTAAACAATAACAAATTTTTAATGTATCTTGTACAATTGCAACAGTGAACAAGCAGAGAATGATGACTTCTAACATCGCAAAATGTATCAATGGTTGCCTTGTTGAGGCAAGACAACTACCTATATTATGCTTTTGGAAGAAGCTAGAATTCTATTTAGTTCTTGAAAGTGCAAAAATCGGGAAATAACATCTTATACAAAGGATACATTTGGGAGGATATTTGAAGAGATTTTGATTATAAACGCATCTAAATGTACAAAAGAATGTCAGGACGACCAAGGAAAGGAAGGAAGAAAAATCCAGATGAAAAACTAACCACAAACACGAACTGTTGTGGACAAGAAGGTCACAATTAAAGAAACTTTCTTTCTGAAAGATACTTAATGAATACTTTTTTTGGAGTACTGTGATGTATCAAATTAATAATTTTCAATTTGTAACATTTTTTTTACTGCTATAGATATATACATTATAAAGTACTTTTAAATTATTAATTTCTGATACAATAAATTGATTTGTATCAAACAATTTTTAACTCTAGCTATAATTTTGATTGATAATTTCTGATATAATAAAGTGAATTTGTTACAAGGAATTATGTTTCAGATATACTATTTATATTATGTATGATTTTGTGTTTGATACAAAAGTGATTGAGAAATGTTGTGTGTAACGTATAATGAAGTGTGAATATTAATGTATCACAAAACAAACAAAAGGAATTAAGTTGATACATGTTTAAAATATCCATGCAGTGGTTAAATATTAAATGTATCTATAGCTGCTTAGAACTACATAAAACAATATAATTGTGCATTTATTTGTTAAATATTCTGAGTCAAATACTTATTTTGTTGATATTTTTTTTATCATATATGAATCATGTACTTATTTTTTTTAAAATATTTTTGTATCAGATAATGATATAATATCCAGTGTTATGATGTATAAAATACTTATAATAGACACAATGTAACAAGGTACTAACAATGTCAAAAATTATATTCAAAATAAACAATTTTGTTAAAGAAAAACTGTAAAACTTGAGAAAATGTATCTTGAAAATAATAAACCCTCCAAAATATTAGTTAATGTATCTTAAAAACAATAAACATCAAAATATGTCTGTGAATTGGTACATAATCACTAATCTATATGAACCAAGTCATCTCATTGTTGTGGAGTGAAATAGCTCTTCAGCTTTGGTGGATCATCGTTATCACTAACATATCCTACCTTGACCTTGTCAAGATCGTAATTCCATAATAGTGTTGCATATCTTGTGTGAAGATAGTCAGCTCGGAAACCATTAAATGGATGTTGACTTCATCGCTAAAGAATTCACCAAAGACAACTACAAACATTCCGCAGTCAATATAAACCTTCTGTAGGTACATTATAAAAATGAATTAAATTTTAACAAAAAAGTTAATTACATGTACATTATAGTAACTACAAAAAATCTTACTGTTTAGTTGATACATAATGATAGTAACTGATACTCAATACCACTTGATGATATTTGTATCTGATACTAAATAAAACATCATATATTCATTATATGTTATTTAAGTATCATGGTTAAACTATTTTATAATATGATACACTATTCTGCAAATTACATCCCATGAAAATAATTTCTACTATATAATTTGATACATTAATGACAATATATCAAAAAACAAAAAAAAATCAAAATTAGAATTTTATGTATAATTTCCTAAGATTTAAAGCAAGATACAAAACAATATGATAATGTATCATTGTTGTCAACATATCCAATTTTTTTAAAACAACTCACCAAGGATGACATGAAATAATAAAAAAAAAAGAACCAGATAATAAAAACATACCTGGGTAATGTAGATCTGGAAATTGCAGGAGCAACTTTTCAATAGAAGACGACTATAATCATATATTCGGCTGTGAATTATACATAATTTTGTTTTTACCCCATTTATCATCATCATAATCATACATTCGTCTAATATTAGAAAAATTTAGTTGAGTGATACCAATACTAAAAGAACGATCCAGATCCATATGTATCAGAAAATAAAGAAGAAAAAACATAAAATTGAGGAAGACGACCATGGAGGAGACGCCTGTAACTATTGCGTTGTTTGAATTTGATTGACCGGAGAGAGAATTCTTTTGAAAATCAAATTGATATGCTAATTGTAACTGATAAGATTGTGGAGTGAAATTAGGGAGAGATTAAAGGAGTGAAAAAGGGAAGGGAAATCGTGGGTTAAGATTGGGATACTTGTGTATCTTGAGATTTTGGAAAAAATAAGGAATTTTAGAATTTTTTTTAAAATAGTAGGGAACAATGGAAAATATAAAAAATAAAAGTGTGTACATAGGTAATTTATCATATAATTAATCCAAAATAAAAAAATCCTAACACATATCTATTAATCCTCGCGTGAAGCGCGAACATGTTCCTTAGTTCCAATATAATAGGGGTGACTCAATAGAATGGATGGTCTAAAGCCAAAATTTAGAAAAAGAGAGATACATTTAATTAATATATTTTATACATTTTATTCTTGTAAATTCTATAAAAATATTATAATCTATTCTAATTTAATAATTAATTTTTCTTTTTCAATTGACAACATTACCTTTCTTGTAATATTTTGTAGGAAAATAATAAGCATATATAAATTATAGTACGTTACATAACAACACAAATGTTTAAATCTCTTTTATTGATTATAGTTTTGAAAACTTTTTCATTAGAATCAATTATTATATAAACTATCAAGATTATTCTAAACGTATTTAAAAATAAAATTAAGACTTCACTTTATTGAATATATCAATTAGATTGTCATTTTTTACTTATATAATATTTCATAATACATTAAAATACAAAAAATCAATATTATAGTGATTGTTATCTTTAGAAGACATTCAAAGTTACAATATTTTTTAAAATTTAATTATTCTATAATCTAATTAGTTTGAGCTTGAAATGTTTAATAAAACATCTCAAAAGAATTGAAGACAATCTTACAAAGTCAATATTAAAACATGGTTGATTGAATTTAAATTGAAGTGAATTAGAGAAATAAAGAAATAAAAAGTAACTATAATTTTTGATTATGTAGGATTTTTAATTATAATTACATCAATAATAAAATATGTGCATAATAATTAGTAAGAGATGTCATGGGTGTTCCAGGAAAATGTAAAGGATGCAGCAGTATGCCCTTGTGAGGGCTATCTGTAACAAGGAAGAGATTAGAAAGAAATTAGCGTAATTAGTGGTGTTGTCACCCATTTTGTATCCTCTAGTCATTAATTCTGAAGCTCTCACCCTCTGTTTTGACATTTGCTAGTTTTTGTTGGTGTCATCGAGTTATTACGTACACACCGAAATGAAGATTTGTGGTAAAAAATGAATACTTTTCAAATAAATAAATCAGTTGCCAGCATAACCTATATGCTTGTGACAGGTTCAGACTATTATGTAATTTAGGTAATCTACATTGACTTTTAAGTAGCAGCTGTAATTTAGTTTGATGAGAAATTCAACTAACTAAGGTCCCTGTCTAACAAACAAAATCCAAAAAGTCCATATTGCATGCATTTTTAAAAACCTATATAAAGCAACAGACTTGAAGCCAATGCCACATCCGAAACTCTTGCACACCCACATATTCTTTAATCTTCTAAGATTTGCAGAAAAATGGCTCAGCATTACCACTTATCCTCTCTTTTACTACTTGCATTTCTCAATTTATTCTTCATTTATGGCAACATAACTGAAGCGACTGCACGCCACCTTCTAGAGACCCCCCTCCCTGAGATTCCTAAACCAGAACTCCCCAAAGTCCCAGCCTTGCCAAAGCCTGAAATCCCAACTGTGCCGAAGCCTGAGCTTCCAAAACCTGAGATCCCTAATGTTCCAAAGCCTGAGCTACCAACTTTCCCGAAGCCCCAGTTACCAACTTTGCCAAAGCCAAAGATGCCTGAGATTCCCGCAATGCCAAAACTAGAGTTTCCTCCCTTGAAAAAGTCAGAAGTGCCAACTTTACCAAAGCCCGAGCTACCGAATGTGCCAAAGCCAGAAATCCCAGAACTACCAAAGCCAAAGGTCCCAGAACTTCCAAAGCCAAAAGTACCAACTATGCCAAAGCCTGAAATCCCAGAATTACCAAAGCCAAATGCCCCAGAGCTTCCAAAGCTAAAAGTCCCAACAATGCCAAAGCCTGAAGCACCAGCTATGCCCAAGACTGAAATCCCAGAACTACCAAAGCCGAAAGTCCCAGAGCTTCCAAAGCTAAAAGTCCCAACAATGCCAAAGCCAGAAATCCCAGAACTACCAAAGCCAAAACTACCAGAACTTCCAAAGCCAGAAGTACCAAAGATGCCAAAGCCTGAAATCCCAGAACTACCAAAGCCTAAAGTCCCGGAGCTTCCAAAGCTAAAAGTCCCAACTATGCCAAAGCCAGAAATCCCAGAACTACCAAAGCCAAAACTATCAGAGCTTCCAAAGCCAGAAGTACCAAAGATGCCAAAGCCTGAAATCCCAGAACTACCAAAGCCAAAACTATCAGAACTTCCAAAGCCAGAAGTACCAAAGATGCCAAAGCCTGAAATCCCAGAACTACCAAAGCCGAAAGTCCCAGAGCTTCCAAAGCTAAAAGTCCCAACAATGCCAAAGCCAGAAATCCCAGAACTACCAAAGGCAAAACTACCAGAACTTCCAAAGCCAGAAGTACCAAAGATGCCAAAGCCTGAAATCCCAGAACTACCAAAGCCTAAAGTCCCAGAGCTTCCAAAGCTAAAAGTCCCAACTATGACAAAGCCTGAAATTCCAGAACTACCTAAACCAACTCTTCCTTCACTTTCTCCACCATACAAACCCCCTACTCCTTGAGTAAATTATATGCTACTTTCACTCTATTAGAAAGTACTCAGCTGATATTTTGCGATTTCCATCTCAGTCTGTGAAGTTTGCCACCTGAGCTGTGACATGGATATAGTATTGGATACTTTCTGCTACGAGTTGAAATTGTAATTCTTTTATAGAAGTATTTGAATTGGATGTACCGAGTTTGTCGTGTTATTATACTATATGAATGTTTTATGTATTTCTATATATACAGTGTAATAAAACTTTGATATATGTTACTTTGGTTTAGTTCCTATCATTTGCCATCTCTGCTTTTGCTCGATCGTTGTTTGTCCATTCTTTCCCTCACTGTTTTTTCCTTCCTAATTTATAGTAACCAATTTCTCCATTACATTTCAAGAGTATGGAATAAAGGATGAATTAGTATATTTAAGTGCCACAAAATGGAGTGGACTCACATTTTTAGTGTAGAACCAAATTGGTGATTTAACTAATTTGCTTTTTGTTCCATTCATCCTAATTAATGCACATTAAATGGATTCAATTACCTCTGTTTCACCTTCTCCAAAAGAATGATAAAAGCAATTTATGCTTCATGTATGATTAGTTAGCTGGTGCAACTACACGAGCCACCTTCTGGAGACGCCATTCCCTGAGATCCCTACACCAGAATCCCCAAATATTCCAGCCTTACCAAAGCCTGAAATCCTATATTATACCAATACGTGAAGTATTATCTATTTCCAACGTTCCAAAGCTATATGAATCCGTGGCGTAAGCAACGTTTTTTGTAGGCAGGGTCCATATTTAAAGGAGCAAACAAAGAATAAATATTGTAGCGACATCATATTAAAAATATTAGTTTATTACTATACTTTGCTTTAACGAGTTTTCATTTTTTAAATGTATTCATGACAGCATTAAAAATAGTGTCTTACGGTGAAAACCCCATCAACCACTTAAAAGATCATTATTCATCTGATTTTACAAGTCAATCTTAATCACCTTCATCACCGAGAAAGCAATACGCCAAGTCTCAAGTAATTGGACCGGGTAGTTTTCAAAATTAGGATTTTACAAGTGGTGAAATAATTGAATCCAAGTAGCGTTTATAGTTATTTATTGTCCCTTTCATACACAAAAGTTGATGTGTTCAAGTAGTAAAACCCAAAAATTTAAAATGAAAGATTGCAGTACTGAGTAACTGTCGAAGTTTATTGGCGAAGTTAGGTGCTTTTGCCAGCGAACCAATTACAGGCAATCTTTGGGAAGTGGTGTCATTTGTTTTTATTAATCCTAAAGCTCAAAAGAAACTCTAAAGTAATAACCTTTCTATTTTGTAGTTTTTGTCGATATCGTTGAGTTATTATGTACACACCACACCAGAATGAAGATTTGCGGTAAAAAGTGAATATTTCTTCACTTTTCAAAGAAATGAAATCAGCTAAGCTAAGAATTTTTATCAGGTTACCAGCATAACCTATATGCAAGTGACAGGTTTAGACTATTTTAAGTAATTTAGGTCATCTAAATTGACTTCTGAAGTACCAGGCTGGAGGCTAATTAGTTTGATGAGAAATTCAACTACTCAGGTCCGTGGCTAACAAACAGAATCCTGAAAGTCCTTGTAATTGCATTCTTGAAAACCTATATAAAGCAACAGACATAAAGCCAATGTCACATCCCAATCACATTGAGTCTTACACATTATTCTTCTTTTCGCTTCTACAATCTGCGTAAAAATGGGTCAGCATCACCACGTATCCTCCCTCTTACTACTTGCATTTCTTAATTTATTCTTCATTCATAACAACATAACTGGTGTGGCTGCACGCCACCTCTTAGAGACGCCCGTCCCTGAGATACCTAAATCAGAACTACCGAAAGTTCCAGCCTTGCCAAAGCTTGAAATCCCAACTCTGCCGAAGCCTGAGCTTCCAACCATACCAAAGCCTGAGATCCCCGCTGTTCCAAAGCCCGAGCTACCAACTGTCCCGAAGCCTGAGTTACCAACTTTGCCAAAGCCTAAGATGCCAGCTATGCCAAAGCCTGAATTACCGACTTTGCAGAAGCCTGAGATTCCAGTTGTGCCGAAACCCGAGCTTCCTTCTATGCCAAAGCCTGAGATTCCAACAATGCCAAAACTCGAGTTTCCTTCCTTGAAAAAGCCAGAAGTTCCAGCAATGCCAAAGACTGATCATCCAACTATGAAAAAAGCAGAGATTCCAACTATACAAAAGTCTGAATTACCAACTTTGCCAAAGCCTGAGATCCCAGCTATACCAAAACCCGAGATTCCTACTGTGCCGAAGCCTGAGATTCCAACAATACCAAAACTCGAGTTTCCTCCCTTGAAAAAGCCAGAAATCCCAGCAGCGCCAAAGACTGAGCTTCCTCCAGCTATGCCAAAGCCTGAAATCCCAGAACTACCAAAGCCAAAAGTCCCCGAGCTTCCAAAGCTAAAAGTCCCAACTATGCCAAAACCTGAAATTCCAGAACTACCAAAGCCAAAAGTCCCTGAACTTCCAAAGCTAGAAGTACCAACTATGCCAAAGCCTGAAATTCCAGAACTACCAAAGCCAAAAGTTCCCGAGCTTCCAAAGCTAAAAGTCCCAACTATGCCAAAGCCTGAAATCCCAGAACTACCTAAACCAACTCTTCCTTCACTTTCTCCACCGTACAAACCTGCTACTCCATGAGTAATTATGTGCTACTTTCACTCTATTATAAAGTACCCAACTGATGTTTTGCCTCAGTCTATGAAGCTTGCGACCTGAACCATGACATGGAAATAGTATTGGACACTTTCTGCTAGGAGTAGAAATAGTAATTCTTCTATAGTAGTGTTTGAATTGGATGTACCATGTTTGACGTGTCATTATACTATATGAGTGTTTTATGTACTTGTTATAAATATAAACTATGATCTATGTTATTTTGATTTAGTTTGTATCATTGGTAAGCTTTGTTTTTGCTCATTCCTTATCTGTTCACTCTTTCCCTCTAGTTTTTTCCTTTCCTAACCAATTTCTTCCATTACATTTCAAGAGTATGGAATAAGGATGAATTAGCATAATAAGTTATAGTACTAAATTGATGATTTAGCTATTTTTGCCTTTTGTTTCGTTATCCTAATGCATATTAAATGGACTCTGTTACCTCTATTTCGTCTGCTCTTAAAGAAAGATAAGAACAACTTATGCTTGGCCTGTTAGCTGGTGCAACTGCAGCTTCTATCTAGAGAGGCCATTCCCTGAGAGTCCTAAATTAAACCAGACAGAATCCGCAAATATTTCGGCCTTAGCTTCTTGAAGCCTGCACCTCTAACCTTATACTATATACTCAATAAGCGGTGTCTATATTTAAAGGAGTAACAAAGAACAAATATTGTAGCCACGTCATATTAAAAGATATTAGTTCATTACCATTATTCTCTTCAACAAGTTTTGTTTTTTTCATAATAGTATTATTGTTTTCACAAGGTTAAAACACCAAACAACCATTCAAAAACTCATCATTCATTCGATTTCACAAATAATCTTAATCAATATCATCCCTGAGAAAGCAATACGCAAGTCCAAGTAATTGTACCCAATAGTTTCCAGAGTTCAGGTTGTTTACATGTGGTGATCAAATAATTGAATCTGAATAGCGTTTATAGTTATTTATTGTCCCTTTCGTACAACAAAAGTTGATGTGGCTAGATGATTTAGTTTAATTTTTCCTTACAAAAGGTAGAAAGTCATATCCATTGAACCAGGCATCACTTTTTTTTAAGCAGTAAAACTCTAACCGTGTGAAGTTTGCTGGCAAAGTTAGGCGCTTTGCCAGAACCAACAGGCTACGGGAAGTGGTTTCATTTGTTTTTTTTTTTATAATGAAAAACTTTATTTTGCATACATGTCTTTAATAAAATTCCTGATGAAGATGTCGGAAGCCCTTCATCCTACCTATATCCGCCCCTATTAATGCTATTCTTTCAGTATTAACTTTTTTATATGAATTTGATATACTATTCTTTTAGTATTAATTATTTTTTCTTTCTTGGAGAATTGTATTGATATTTTGTGGTATAATGTGAATTCAGGACTTTTCTCTTTTCAAGAAAATGAAATAAGCTACTCTATCCGGTCCAAAATAATGTCATTAGCTAATTTTACCATTTAAATATTGACAAAGTACCATTTAATTAATGTCATTAGCTAATTTTAGTGGTGTAACACCCCCAAAAAATTCATTTATATTTGGACAGGAGGGAGTAATAAAGAAAGGATTTCTATCAGGTTGCTAGCATAACGTATGTGTTTGTGAAAAGTTTACACTATTTTGTAATTAGGTCATCTAGATTGACTTTTGAGGTACCAACTAGAAGCTAAGTGGATGAGAAGTTCAACTACACAATCCTTACTTAACAAACAAAATCCAGATGTCCATTTTAAAACCTATATATAGCAACAGAAATAAAACCAATGCCACATCCGAATCACATTTGAGTCTATACACATTCTAAGATTTGCAGAAAAATGGCTCAGCATTACCACCTATCCTCTCTTTTACTACTTGCATTTCTCAATATATTCTTCATTCATGGCAACATAAGTAGCGTGATTGCACGCCACCTCCTAGAGACGCCCGTTCCTGAGATACCTAAACCAGAACTCCCAAAAGTTCCAGCCTTGCCAAAGTTTGAAATCCCAACTGTGCCGAAGCCTGGGCTTCCAACCATACCAAAGCCTGAGATCCCCGCTGTTCCAAAACCCGAGCTACCAACTTTCCCGAAACCTGAGTTACCAACTTTGCCAAAGCCTAAGATCCCACCTATGCCAAAGCCCGAGATTCCTGCAATGCCAAAACTAGAGTTTCCTCCCTTGAAAAAGGCAGAAATTCCAGCCGTGCCAAAGACTGAGGTTCCTCCCAATAGCGAAGCTAGGATTTTTAATAAGGGGGTTCAAAATCTAAAGAACTAAACACACGGACTAATCGAAGGGGGTTCAACATCTACTATATATACATAAAAAATAATTTTAATCATGTATAAATAGTAATATTTTCTGCCAAAACAGAAGTATGGATTCTAGCCTATTATTTATTGTTATTTTAGTGATCTTTTTACACAAACTCTGCGCCAAAATTACTAGGTTCGTATGAATCTAGTATTTCGTGCTGCATTTGCCCCTTCATGCTTTGTCACCTGGAAACTCATGATTTGTGCCATCAAAAGTGACTCCAGCCATTCCCGAAGCTCAAATTTAAGACATCTGATTAAGAATTAATAAATATTTATTCTCTCCACATCTCTACCAGAACGCTTGATGATATCTTCGTAGTAGCTACTCTTTCTGTCACTATTGTTCCACACAAAGCCTAATTTTGTCTGCAATCAATATAAGTATAGTGTATATTAGACTTTTTATTATATTAGACTTTTTATTTCTTTTAACTAGGACGTCCCAAATGTTATCGTATTTTACTAAAAATATTACGTATTATTTTGTAGATAGTTGATCACAACCTTTAAGTATTCATATAATGTAATGTTTTCTCCATCAAATTAAATTATCAATAGTTATTTTAATATTTTTAATAATAATATAAATACTTATATCAAGTTAACATTAAGACGCGATAATCAGTCAAACAATGCTTTAAAAAAATAAGACTGAGGGAGTTTATATTTTGATTTTAAAAACATTTAGTTAAAGTGTAATGATTTTTTTGTACAGGAAGAACCAACAGTGTCATCATTATCGTGATAGAGTTGTATGCATGTCAAGTTAAACTATATTTGATTAAGATATGTTGTGTCTCTCTTATAATACCCACTTTTTATTTTAATTTGATTTAAAGAGACAAACAACAAATAAAGAAAGGACATAAAATACATTGTAATTGACAATTTAAAGGTGATTAGTAAATATTTAACAAAAGTTTGATTCCTTAATAATCTCATATTTATTAATATGAGTATTCCTTTATTTTAGCGATATTCAAGATACTATGATATTGCTATTACAAGACAAATTCTAAATACTATAATATTGGCAGATAAATAGGTCAACTAACGTATCAAATATTGAAATCCTCCTTTTTATATGCTTGTAAAAATCTATATATAGCTAAATGAAAAACTATTGGAATATCAAAACTTCATTTGCTCTTTAACACATGTTACTCTAAGCTTCTTGCATCTGCAGAAAAAATGGCTCAACATTACAAACTGTCCTCCATCTTATTGCTTGCATTTATCTACTTTATACATGACCACATGATTACTACTATAACAGCACGTCGCATTCTACAAACTCCTAGTTTCTCAACGTCCATTACCCCTAGTTTCGCAATGCCTACTACCCCCAGTTTCTCCAATTCCCCCGGTGTTTCAGAGCCTGCTAGCCCAAGTTTCTCCAATTCACCTAGCCTTTCGAAGCCCGAGACTCCTAGTTTCTCAAAATCTGAGACCCCTAGTTTCTCAAAACCCGAGACGCCTAGTTTCTCAACACCTGAGACCCCTCGTTTCTCAAAGCCCGAAACTCCTAGTTTCTCAAAACCTGAAACTCCTAGTTTCTCAAAGCCCGAGACACCTAGTTTCTCAAAGCCCAAAATTCCTAGTTTCTCAAAACCTGAAACCCCTAGTTTATCAAAGCCTGAGATTCCTAGTTTCTCAAAACCCGAAACCCCTAGTTCCCCAAGACTCGAAACTCCTATTTTCTTAAAGCCTGAGACCCCTACTTTCTCAAAGCCCGAAACCCCTACATTTTCAATGCCCAAAACCCTTAGTTTCTCAAAGCCCGAGACCCCCAGATCTCAAAAGCCTGAGACTCCTACTTTTTCAAAGCTCGAGACCCCGATTTTCTCAAAACCAGAGACCCCTAGTTTCTCAAAGCCTGAGACTCCTACTTCTCCAAAGCCTAAAATTCCTACTTTCTCAAATCCCAAAACTCTTACTTTCTCAAAGCCCGAGACCCCAAGTTCTCTGAAGCCTGAGACTCCCAGTTTCTCAAAGCCCGAGACCCCTAGCTTCCCAAAGGCCGAGACTCCTAGTTTCTCAAAGCCTGAGACACCAAGTTCCCCAAAATCTGAGACACCTAGTTTTTCAAAACCCGAGACTCCAACTTTCTCAAAGCCTGAGACTCCGAGTTCCCCAAAGTCTGAGACCCCAACTTTCCCAAAGCCTGAAATCCCAAGTTCTTTAAAACCCGAGACCCCAAGTTCTCCAAATCTTGAGACCTCTAGTTTCTTAAAGCCCGAGACCCCTAGTTTCTCAAAGCCCGAGATGCCAAGTTCCCCAAAACCTGAGACTCCTAGTTTTTCAAAACCTGAGACCCCAACTTTTTCAAAGCCTGAGACGCCGAGTTCCCCAAAGTCCGAGACCCCTGCTTTCTCAAAGCCTGAAATCCCAAATTCTTCAAACCCCGAGACCCCAAGTTCCCCTAAGCCTGTGACCCCTAGTTTTTCAAAGCCCGAAAGCCCTAGCTTCTCAAATCCCGAGACTCCCAGCTTTTCAAAGCCTGAGACCTCAAGTTTCTCTAAGCCCGAGACTCCAAGTTTCTCAAAGCCTGAGACTCCAAGTTCCTCGAAGCCCGATGCGCCAAGTTCACCAACGCCAAGTTCACCAACGCCCGAGATGCCAAGTTTTACAAAACCCGACACTCTTAGTTTCTCAAAACCTGAGACTCCAAATTCTCCAAAGCCCGAGATCCCAAGTTCCCCAAAGCCCGAGATTCCAAGTTCCCTAAAGCCCGAGATTCCAAGTTCCCTAAAGCCCGAGACTCCAAGTTCCCCAAAGCCCGAAACCTCTACTTTTTCAAAACCCGAGACCCCCAATTCTCCAAAGTTTGAGACTTCAAGTTCTCCAAAGCCCGAGACCCCTAGTTTCTCAAAGTCAGAGACTCCTAGTTTCTCAAAGCCTGACATGCCAAGTTCCCCTACGCCTGAGACTCCTAATTTCTCAAAGCCCGAGACTCCAAGTTCTACAAAGACCAAGGCTCCTACTTTTTCAAAACCTGAGACCCCAAGTTCTCCAAAGCCTGATACTCCAAGTTTCTCAACTCCCGAGACTCCTACTTTCTCAAAGCCCGAGACCCCAAGTTCCTCAAAACCCGAGACCTTAAGTTTCTCAAAGCCCGAGACTCCTAGCTTTTTAAATCCCAAGACACCAAGTTCGCCAAAGCCCGAAACATCAGGTTCTCCAAAGTTTCAAACTCCTAGTTCCTCAAAGCCCGAGACTCCAAGTTCTCCAAAGCCCAATACACCTAATTTCCCAGAGCCCGATACCCCAAGTTTCTCAAAGCCCGAGACCCCAAGTTCTGAGACCCTAAGTTTTCCAAAACCCAAAACTCCTAGTTCTGAAAAGCCTGAGACACCAAATTCCCCAAAGCCTGAGACCCCAAGCTCTCCAAATTTTGAGACTCCTAGTTTCTCAAAACCCGAGACCTCTAATTCCTCAAAGCCCGAGATTCCAGCAGCCCCAGAACTCGAGACTCCTAGTGTCTCTATGCCTGAAATACCTAGTGTACCAAAGCGTGACCTACCAACTACCCCAAAACCTAAGATCCCAACTTTTACAAAGACTGAATTACCAGTTGTTTCAAATCCTGAGATTCCTAGTGTGATAAAGACAGAAAATCCAAAACTTTCTAAACCAACATTGTCAACTTCTCCATGAGTAACTATGGTGTTATTCATGTGTCATGACTTGTGCTGCCTAATTGCATATGAATGAGTTGACAATGGGTTAGATGCGAATGGATAAAATATTCGACTAGACGGTATTTTACGTGAATAAAAATGGGTTGAATGATGGATGATATTATAATATCCACTTATTATCTACTCATAAATTGTACAAAATTGAAATTAGTTATTAAATAAAGTGAAGCACTTTCTTTTTCTTTAATTTTTTGTTTTGGTAAGCCAACTTACATTGCTTTTCACTTTGTTAGATGTTTATGTTTTCTTAGTCAATATTATTATATTTAGAAGCTATAGTTTCTAACTTTTGGTACGAAGTTTTTGGATGCTAAAACGGTAGATGCTAAAATTAGAGATCATTGAATTAAACTACAAAAGGTTACATTAGATATACTTTATATATTGGTGTTCAGTTACTTTGAAACAAAATAAATACTATGCACATAGTGGCAACAAAAAACTTGAGGAATTTTATAATGGTAATTACCCACATGATGACTTTATTAATAATTCTCAACTAATATCCGAATAATAGAAATAACTTAAAGATCATTGCAATATTTTTGAACATAAATGCAGAAATTCGACATTATCACATATCTCAAAAGGCTATGATGAATGATTGCAAATATCGTATTTTTTGATCAATTTTATCTTCTAATGCACGTGTGTTTTCTGATGGTAACATTTTTTTCTTTATATAATGTCTTCTCAATATTGCATGATCTATTAAAAAATAATTGTGCATCATTTTTTTTCTATTCTTGTGTACACAAAGAATTGAATATTTTAACTTCACAGCATACACTATACTATTATGCAAAATGATTAAAGATTTGTTGACATTTCAGCACTGTAATTGTCACATTAAAGCACATATTATGCACATTTTAGGACTCCAAAACTTCACTACAAAAAATCTCCACAATTCAACGTATTTTCGAAAAATTCATCAGCACTCTAAATTTCACTATAAATTTTTTTGGTGTACTCATTTACTATGTTTATAAAAAGAAGTTTCTAACATGTAATTTTGTTAGAGTACACCTCTTCAAGCTGTCAATGCCAAGATTAATGTTTTGGTAATTACCTTCCAAATGACTCATTGAGTGTTTAAATTTCTTGAAACTAAATGCACAATGCAAGTTAATATTTAAGGCGATAAATTGCATATTCTTTTCATGTTGTAGTTATTATGAGTAGCAAGTAAATTTATTTCAAATTCATTCTAAAAGTAACAACTTATTATTATGTTAAAAATTAATGCAATAACTAAAACAAATATTGTTAACACATTATTTGGCTACTCTTCCTTCTCAGTTTTTCTTTTATAATTTATAGTAATAGTAACCACTTTCTTCCATCACACTTCAAGAGTATGATTTAAAGGATGAATTAGCATATGTTGAAGTGCCGGTTGAATATTTTGTTCCATAAATACACCTCAATAGAGTGTTGTGTTTGTTAACTGATTGATACCATTTTTTTCAACTCTCTAAAAATGTGATAAATCTTTCAAGTGTAGTTATATTATTCTTATTGCCATTTCTGTGGATTGTACTAGTCTTTTTTGGCTTATTATTTATTGTGATCTTTTAACACATGAACTCCACAACAAAATTACTAAGTTCAGATCTAGTTTTTCATGTTGCATTTGCCCCTGCCTTCTTTGTCACCCTGAAACTCATGATTTGTGCCACCAAAGGTGACTCCACTTCCAAAGCTTGAATTTAAGAAATCTGATCAAGGATTAATAAATATTTATTCCCCTCCATGTCTCTACCTTAATGATATATTGATGATCGATATCTTGTTGGTAGCTAGTCTTTCTATCACTATTGTTCCATACAAAGTCTAATTTTGTCTGCAATCAAGTATTGTTTATTTGTTCCAAGTTGATTTCAACTTTTTATTTCTTTTAACTGGGCGTCCCAATACTCCCAAATGTTATCATATTTTACTGAAATATGGAGTATTATTTTGTCGATAGTTGATTATAACTTTTAAGTATATTCATATAATGTAATGTTTTCTCCATCAAATTAAATTATCAATAATTATTTTAATATTTTTAGTAATAATATAAATACTTAAATCAAGTCAACATCAAGATGCGATATTCAATCAAATAATGTCATATAAAATAGGACTAAGGAAGTTTATATGTTGAATTTTAAAGATATTTAGTGAAAAGTGTAATGATTTTAGTTATTACAAGGTGAAATCAACATTGTCATTCTTATCGTGATAGAGTGATATGCATGTCAAGTTCAATTATGTTTGATTAAAATATGATGTGTCTCTCTTATACCCACTTTTATTTAATTTTATCCTAAAAGAAAAGCTAGAAATAAAGAAATGACATAATTAAAAGACATTGTGATTGATAATTTAAAGGTGATTAGTAAATAGTTTAACAATTGTTTGTTTCCTTAATAATCTCAGATAAGCTAGTAAATCTGAGCATTCCTTTATTCTAGTGATATTCAAGATACTATAATATTGCAATCATAATACAAATTCTAGATATTATAATATTGGCAGATAAATAGGACAACCAACGTATCAAATATTGAAATCCTCCATTTTACATGCCTTTAAAAATCTATATATAGCTAAATGGAAACCAATTAAAATATCAAAATTTTATTTTCTCTTACCACATTTTTCTCTAAGCTTCTTGTATCAGCAGAAAAATGGCTCGGCATTACAACTTGTCCTCCATCCTATTGTTTGTGTTTATCTACTTTGTGCATGACGACATGATAACTACTATAACGGCACGTCGCCTTCTTCAGACCCCTAGTTTCTCAGCGCCAACTACTCCTAGTTTTTCAACGTCCGTTGTCCCAAGTTTCTCAACGCCCACTACCCCCAGTTTCTCAATGTCTGCTACCCCAAGTTTCTCCAATTCCCCCGGTCTTTCAAAGCCTCAGAACCCTAGTTTCTCAAAACCTGAAACACCTAGTTTCTCAAAGCCCAAAACTCCTAGTTTCTCAAAGCCTAAGACACCTAGTTTCTTAAAGCCCGAAATTCCTAGTTTTTCAAAACCTGAGACCCCTAGTTTCTCAACGCCCGCTACCCCAAGTTTCTCCAATTACCCTAGTCTTTCAAAGCCTGAGACCCCTAGTCTTGCTAAGCTTGAGACCCTTAGTTTTTCAAAATCTGAAACACCTAGTTTCTCAAAATCCGAAACTTCTAGTTTCTCAAAGCCAGAAACTCCTAGTTTCTCAAAGTCCGAAATTCCTAGTTTTTCAAAACCTGAAATCCCTAGTTTCTCAAAACCAGAGACCCCTACTTTTTCAAAGCTCGAGACCCCTAGTTTCTTAAAACCTGAGACTCCTAGTTTCTCAAAGCCCGAGACTCCTAGTTTCTGAAAGCCTAATACCCCTAGTTCTCCAAACCTCGAGACTCCAAGTTTCTCCATGCCCAAGACCCATGGTTCACAAAAGTCCGAGACTCCTATCTTCTCAAAGCCTGAGAACCCTAGTGTTTCAAAGCCCAAGACTCCTACATTCTCAAAGCCTGTGACTCTTACTTCCTCAAAGCCCGAGACCCCTACTTTATCAAAGCCTGAGACTCCTACTTTCTCAAAGCCTGAGACCCCAAGTTTCTCAATGCCCAAGACCCCTAGTTCTACAAAACCCAAGATTCCTAGTTTTTCAAAGCATGAGACTCCTAATTCCCCAAAGCTAGAGACCCCTAATTCTCCAAAGCTCGAGACCCTTAATTCTCCAAAGCTCGAGACCCGTAATTCTCCAAAGCTCGAGACCCCTAATTTTTCAAAGCCTGAAACTCTTAGTTTCTCAAAACCTGAGACTCCTACTTTCTCAAAGCCTGAGACTCCTACTTTCTCAAAGCCTGAGACTCCTACTTTCTCAAATCCTGAAATTCCACGTTCTCCGAAGCCCAAGACCCCAAGTTCTCCGAAGCTTGAGACTCCTAGTTTCTCAATGCCCGAGCTCCTAGCTTCCCAAAGCCCGAGACTTCTAGTTTTTCAAAGCCTGAGAACCAAGTTCCCTAAAATCTGAGAGTCTTAGTTTTTCAAAACCCGAGACTTCAACTTTCTCAAAGCCTGAGACTCCGAGTTCCCCAAAGTCTGAGACCCCAACTTTCCCAAAGCCTGAAATCCCAAGTTCTCCAAGGCTCGAGACACCAAATTCCCCAAAGCTTGAGACCTCTAGTTTCTCAAAGCCTGTGACTCCTAGTTTCTCAAAGCCTAAGACTCCAAGTTCATCAAAGCCCGAGTCAACAAGTTCCCCAATGCCCGAGATGCCAAGTTTTTCAAATCCCGAGACTCCTAGTTTCTCAAAGACTAAGACTCCAAGTTCTCCAAATCCCCCAAGTTCCCTAAAGCCAGAAACTCCTAGTTTTTCAAAGCCCGAGACTCCAAGTTCCCCAAAGCCTGAGACCCCTAGTTTCTCAAAGCCCGAGGCTCCTAGTTTTTCAAAGCCCGAGATGCCAAGTTCCCCAAAGTCCGAGACGCCAAGCTCTTCAAAGCCTGAGACCCCAAGTTTCGAGACTCCAAGTTTTCCAAAACCCGAAACTCCTAGTTCCCCAAAGCCCGACACACCAAGTTCCCCAAAGTATAAGACCCCAAGTTCTCCAAATTTTGAGACTCCTAGTTTCTCAAAGCCAGAGATACCTAGTTTCTCAAAACCTGAAACCTCTAATTTCTCAAAGTCTGATATTCCAGCAGCCCCAGAACTTGAGACTCCTAGTGTTTCTAGGCCTGAAATACCAAATGCACCAAATCGTGAGCTACCAACTACCCCAAAACCAGAGATCCCAACATTTACAAATCCTGAATTACCAGTTGTTTCAAATCCTGAGATTCCAAGTGTATTAAAGATAGAAATACCAAAACCTTCTAAACAAACATTGTCAACTTCAATTCTCCCTAAGTAACTATGGTGTTATAAATGTGTCATGACTTGTGCCGGCTAGCAGAGGATTAGATCGCATATGAATGAGTTGAAAATGGGTTAGATGCAAATGGATAAATATTTGACTTGTCGGTATTTTATGTGAATAAAAATGAGTTGAATGATGGATGATTTTAGTATCCACATATTATCTACTCATAAATTGTACAAAAATGAAATTTGCTATCAAATAAAGTGAAGCTCTTTCTTTTTCTGTAATTTTATTTTTTGATAAGCCAACTTACATTGTTTTTCAGATGTTTGTTTTTTCTTAGTCAACATATCTAGAAGCTATAGTTTCTAACTTTTGGTACGAAGTTCTTGGATGCTAAAATTAGAGATCTTTGAATTAAAAAAAAAATCTCCACAATTCAACATATTTTCGATAAATTCATCAGCACTATAAATTCGATGTATAGCATGTTTTATCTGTCATTATACTATATAAGTGTTACATTTATATTCTATATGTACAGCGTAGTAAAGCTATGATTGATCTATTTTACTATATATCATTGGCCGGACATGATCTCTGTTTCTTCTAAATCGTCGTTATTTATCGATCAACTGAACCATTTTTTCCCATCACATTTCGAAAGCATGGAAATGATGAATTAAGTGTTGCGCTGGTTGAATAATACTTTAATTTGGACAATGATAGAAATTGCAGAGAACGTTCTTCCATTGCAACATTCACAAATCATAAGTTTCAAAATATCATCTCATTTTCACTAATCAAATTTGATAGTTTTCATCAGTGAAAAGTTTTAAAGAGAAAATGTTTGCCATGACTAAAAAAAAAGGTTTACACGTAGAATGGGTCAATTTAAAACAAAAGATTTGTCTAGTTTACTTTTTTTTTTTTTAAAAAAAAAAAAACTAAAATATCTCAACAAACTAAATAAAAACTTAAATTCAAATTCATTCTAAAAGTATAAATTTATTATGTTAAAAATCACTGCAATAACTAAAACAAATGTTAAACATTGTTTGGCTACTCTTCCCTGTCGGCTTTTAATTTATTATTTATTCATAGTAATAGTAACCACTTTCTTCCGTCACATATCAAGAGTGATTTAAAGGATAAATTAGCATATATTAAAGTGCCGGTTGAATATTTTGTTCCACAAATATGAAATATTCAATAGAGTGTTGTGTTTGTTAACTGATTAATATCATTTTTTTTTAACTCTCTAAAAATGTGATAAATCTTTCAAATGTGAGCGTCCAATTTTCTTAATATATGAATTTACAATGTAGTTATATTTTTCTTATGCCATTTCTGTAGATTATACTAGATTTTTTTCTCATCAGGTGTTGGACATCTATTTTTGTAGATTTATGTTTTGTTGGTTCAATTTTTAAGATTTTTAATATTAAATAAACATATTTGATATGTAAATTAAAAGTATGAGTTCTGACCAATTATATATTGCGATTTTAGTGATCTTTTTACATATATACTCCACGATAAAATTACTAAGTTCAGATGAATCTAGTTTTTCATTTTGCATTTGCCCTTGCCTGCTTTGTCACCCTGCAACTCGTGATTTGTGCCACCAAATATGACTCCATTCCTGAAGCTCGAACTTAAGACATCTGATTAAAGAATAATAAAAAATGTTTATTTGTTCCAAGTTATAGTATAACTTTTTATTTCTTTTAACTGGTACGTCTCAAATGTTGTCATATTTTATTAAAATATTATTATTTTGTAGATAGTTGATTATAACTTTTAGGGAAAATACATAAAAATCCCCCTGAATTTGATCGGATAACTTACTTTAGTACTTAAACTATACGGGTGTTTAAATACCCCCTTAAAATCTTTGAAGTGATTTTTTTTCCACCCTGAGACTATAACACCACTCTCACCCGCCACGTAAGCGCCACATCACAACCATGTAGGCACCATGTCATTAATCTTTATTTCTTTTTTACTTATTCACTATTTTTTCTTATACACTTTTTAAAATTAATTATATCAATTAATTAATTTATTTATAAATGCATACCCCTCCACCCCCTCTCTTTCTTCTTCCTTGTTATTCTCCATTATTCCAACCTTCAATACTTTCTTTTCTTCTTCTTCACTATTCAACAATTTTTTAAGTCACTTTAAAGAAGAAATTCACATTATCTTCTTCGAACCCTCCCAACGAATTTACCCTCTTGGAGAATGGATTTTTTTGAAAGCCAATTTTTTCTTGACAACTCAAATAAGAAATGAAAATTGCATAAGAAAGTTGATCCAAAAAAAATATAAATTTTATGAGAAATGTTTGAATGATCTAGAAATCAAAATGGGTCGCTCAAAATTTAAGAAAGTTTACATTTACCAAATCGATACAAATAATAGAGTGAAATCGACGTCAATAAAATGACATTGCTATTGAATTTTACGGATTAGTAAAAGATTAGTGGAATGAAAATAGTGGATAGAGGTGGGGAAGAAGATGGAGGAAGAGATGTTTTAATGGAGAAAAATGTGTATTGAAGAAGACAACAAAATAAAAAAAAAATAATTAAAGAAAATAAAAAGGGGACCCACTAATTTCATTTACCTCTTAATAAGAAAATTTACATATTTTAAAGATTTAATATATATAAAAAAAACTATTTAAATAATTTGTTATATATTTTCCAATAAAAAAAGGCCATCTGTAGGGCTTTAAAAATTAAGTTTTTTTTTCTCTTTTTTCACGCACTTTCAGGAGAGTGCACTCACTCTCTCTGCCACATCATCCCTTAGGGGGTGTTTTAATCACTTAAAAGATGTTGAGGGGTATATAAACACCCGTGTAGTTTAAGTATTAAAGTAAGTTTTCGTGCCAAGTTCAGAGGGAATTTTATGTCTTTTCCCTAACTTTTAAGTATATTCATATATAATGTAATGTTTTCTCCATCAAATTAAATTATCAATAGTTATTTTAATATTTTTAGTAATAATATAAATACTTAAATCAACTTAATATTATGATGTGATATTTAATCATAATGCCTTAAAGAATAAGACTAAGGGAGTTTATATGTTGATTTTATAGATATTTGGTGAAAAGTGTAATGATTTTGGTTCAAATATGTTTGATACAGATATGATGTGTCTCTTTTATACCCACTTTTTTTTATTATTATTTATTCAAAGAGAAAAGCTACAAATAAAGAAAGGACATAAAAGACATTGTGATTGAAATTTCGGAAGTGATTAGTAAATATAGCTTAACAAATGTTTGCTTCCTTTATTCTAGCAATATTCAAGATACTATAATATTGCTATCACAATACAAATTCTAGATACTATAATAATGGCAGATAAATAGGTCAACTAACGTATCAAATATTGAAATTCTCCCTTTTAGATGCCTTTAAAAATCTATATATTGCTAAATGGAAAATTATTAGAATATCAAAATTTTATTTGCATTGCTCTTACAACATTTTTCTCCAAGCTTGTTGCATGTACCTAAAAATGGCTCAGCATTGTAACTTGTCCTCCATCTTATTGCTTGCATTTATCTATATCATGCATAACCACATGATAATTACTATAACAGCACGTCACCTTCTTCAGACTCCTAGTTTCTCAACGCCCGCTACTCCTAGTTTTTCAATGCCCTCTACCCCAAGTTTCTCAACACCCACTACCCCCAGTTTCTCAACACCCACTACCCCCAGTTTCTCAACGCCAGCTACCCCAAGTTTCTCTAATTCCCCCAGTCTTTCAAAGCCTGAAACCCCTAGTTTTTCAAAATCCGAAACACCTAGTTTTTCAAAGCCCGAAACTCCTAGTTTCTCAAAGCCTGAAATACCTAGTTTCTCAAAATCTGAAACCCCTAGTTTCTCAATTCCCGCTACCCCCAGTTTCTCCAATTCCCCTAGTCTTTCAAAGCCTGAGACCCCTAGTTTTTCAAAACCTGAAACACCTAGTTTTTCAAAGCCCGAAGCTCCTAGTTTCTCAAATCCCGAAACTCCTAGTTTTTCAAAGCCTGAAACTCCTAGTTATTCAAAATTTGAAACCCCTAGTTTCTCAAAACCTGAGACCCCTACTTTTTCAAAGCCTGATACCCCTAGTTTCTCAAAACCTGAGATTCCTAGTTTCTCAAAGCCTGAGACCGCTAGTTCTCCAAAGCTCGAGACTCCTACTTTTTCAAAGCCTGAGGCTCCTACTTTCTCAAAGCCTAAGACTCCAAGTTTCTCCAAGCCCGAGACCCCTGGTTCACCAAAGGCCAAGACCCCTACCTCCTCAAAGCCTGAGACCCCTAGTATTTCAAATCCCGAGACTCCAAGTTTCTCCAAGCCTGAGACCCCTACCTTCTCAAAGCCTGAGATCCCAAGTTTCTCAAAGCCCGAGACCCCTAGTTCTCTAAAACTCGAGATTCCTATTTTTTCAAAGTCTGAGACTCCTAGTTCCCCAAAGCCAGAGACCCTTAATTCTCCAAAGCTCGAGACCCCTAGTGTTTCAAAGCCTGAAAGCCCTAGTTTCTCAAAACCTGAGACTCTTACTTTCTCAAAGACTGAGAATCCTAGTTCTCCAAAGCTAGAAACCCCTACTTTCTCAAATCCTGAGACTCATACTTTATCAAAGCCCAAGATTTCTAGTTCCCCAAAGCCTGAGACCCTTACTTTCAACAAGCCTGAGACTCCTACTTTCTTAAAACCTGAGACCCCTAGTTTTTCAAAGCCTAAGACCCCAAAGTCTCCAAATTCTGAGACTTCAAGTTCTTCACAGCCTGACACTCCTAGTTTCTCGAAACCTGAGGCCCTTACTTTCTTAAAGCCCGAGACCCCAAGTTCCCCAAAGTCTGAGACCCCAAGTTTTCCAAAGCTTGAGACTCCTAGTTTCTTAAGTCCTGAGACTCCTAGTTTCTCAAATCCCAAGACCCTAAGTTCCCCAAAGCCTGAGATGCCAAGTTTAGCGAAGCCTAAGACTCCTAGTTCTGCAAAGCCTGAGACAACAAGTTCCTCAAAGCCTGAGACTCCTACTTTCTCAAAGCCTGAGACTCCAAGTTCCCCCAAGCCCGAGACCCCAAGTTTCCCAAAGCCGAAAATTCCAAGTTCCCCCAAACCTGAGACCTCAAGTTCTCCAAACCCCGAGACTCCTACTTTCTCAAAGCCCGAGCCGCCAAGTTCCTCAAAGCCAGAGACTCCAAGTTTCGAGACTCCTAGTCTCTCAAAGCCCGAGACTCCAAGTTTCCCAAAGCCTGAGATGCCAAGTTCCCCAAAGTTTGAGATCCCAAGTTCTCCAAAGCCCGAGACTTTTACTATCTCAAAGCCGGAGACCCCAAGTTCTCCAAAATCCGAGACGCCAAGTTCCCCAAAGTCCGAGACGCCAAGTTCCCCAAAGTCCGAGACGCCAAGTTCCCCAAAGTCCGAGACTCCAAGTTACCCAAAGCCCGAGAGCCCAAATTCTCCAAATCTCGAGACCCCAAGTTTCCCAAAGCACGAGACTCCAAGTTCCCCAAAGTCCGAGACTCCAAGTTCTCCAAAGCCCGAGACTCCTAGTTTCTCAAAGCCAGACATACCTAATTTTTCAAAACCCGAGACCTCTAATCTTTCAAAGCCAAAGATTCCAGAAGTCCCAAAACCCGAGATTCCTAGTGTCTCTAAGCCTGAAATACCAAGTGTGCCAGAGCGTGAGCTACCAACTACCCCAAAACCTGAGATCCTAATTTTTACAAAGCCCGAATTACCAGTTGTTTTAAATCTTGAGATTCCAAATGTGATAAAGACAGAAATTCCAAAACTTTCTAAACCAACAGTGTCAAGTTCTCCGTGAGTAACTATGGAATTATATATGTGTCATGACTTGTGCCGGCTTATGGACGGATTAGATCGCATATGAATGAGTTGAGAATGGGTTAGATGCGAATGGATAAAATATTCGATTTGTCGGTGTTTTATGTGAATAAAAATGGGTTGAATGATAGATTATTTTAGTATCCACATATTATCTACTCAAAAATTGTACAAAACTGAAATTTGCTATCAAATAAAGTAAATAACTTTCTTTTTCTTCAATTTTTTTTTATAAGCCAGCTTACATTGTTTTCACTCTATTAGATGTTTGTTTTTTCTTAGTCAACATATCTCGATGCTATAGTTTCTACGTACGAAGTTTTTGGATGCTAAAACTGTAGATGCTAAAACTATATATATATATATACTTTTTTAATAATTCTTAACTAATATCCGAATTCCTCTATTGTTATAGCGAATGATTACACCAAATCAATGCAACTTACAATAGGTGAGTGGTTCAATGAAGTAAATTGTCTACTTTCTGCGTTACAAATTGTTTGTCTTGTTTTAACAAATCACGTGATTTTTGTATTCTTTGCTTCAACAGATTTTTTCTCTCTGTTTCTCCCAACATATTTATTTACATACGCTTTGCTTATATGTACAAGTATGGGTACATGATTTTTTTTGGAATGTGTATGTATAATTCTTTCTTATGTTGCTTCGACATTGTTCCCATATTGTTCAACAAATACAGTACTGTATAAACTAAAATCTTTTTAGTACAATAAGTAACTCAGCTTATAATTTCCGTGCTCTAATTAATTCATTAACCACTCACCCAACTGCTACTTTTCTTCTTCCTTATATATTATACGTGCTACTATTATTATTCTTTGATAATAATTGAAGACATAATAATCATGAGAGACTAATAAATTTTTGGTGCTATAAAGCTTACTGCATAACTGTTTTTGGATACTTTAATGTGAAATGGAGAATTTGGGAGAAAATAATAGTAAGATACAAGTAGTACTACTCTAATTAATTAGCTTGTCCAAGAAATTCGTGAGATGTCCTTATTGTACGTACAACCCTTTTTCAACCAAACAAAGTTTAGAAATCATGTAAACTGAAAATGATCTCGTATGATTACCTATAAATTGAACAAAAGAAAATGATTTTTTTCAAATCTCTTACGTGTAAAAATGAAAATATGTATAAAAAAAAACAAAAAACTAAAGTCTAAACATAACATAATTGTATGTTTTAGGATCATTCAATTATGTGCATAGCTTGATCCAGTTATAAGATGCAGGTAGTGGTTGGTCTACAGTAATTTAACCAAATCTTGTGAAGCAATTGAGCTTTAGAACATGAGCTGTATTGTATATGAATAATGCTGCTGGAAAGACGACTTTAAAAATTCTATGAAATTTGATTTATATTATACCTATTGATGTGGTTGGTGGGACGGTTGCAAACTATTTATGTTTATCCAGATGCATCGAGTTCAAACTCTAAAAATAGAAATTTACGTGATAAAATAAGTTATCTGATGTGAATCTGAATTATTCGGACAAGTGAAAAGTTAATTTCTTGTTGCGACTGGTGTCACTGTTTTTCATTTTATCTTTTCTTTAGTCTGTTCTGTTCCTTTCTGGACAGCCTTTTGGTTGTTGTTTTTAAAGCCAATTTAATGGCATCAACGCTCATCGAATAGTAACAGCTAGCCACATTTAAGAGACCAAAGGATTCATCTCAATAAATTAAAGCTGTATCGATTAAATTCCTACTCCAAATTAAACTACCATCGATACGCGTTTAGTTTAGCATTTCGGACTTGTATATTCTTTTTCAATTTACGTGACTCTATTTCTTTTTAATTAGTATAAAAAGAATGATTTCTTTTTTAATTTTACCTAGAATCTCATAGTAACATAATCAAAATTTAATTTACAATTGTTTTGCAATATTCATTGAGATCAAATGCGGAGAAAAATTTTAGTTGAATGATTGATTTGTCATTTGATACTTGATAAAGTATATACTTTTATCAAGTGTCAAGATCACTTATATTTTTTTAATAAATAAACTTAAATCTTAACATTCCATGTGTATCTATTCCCTCCGTTTCATAATATGACTATTTTTAGCTTGGACATATTCATTAAAAAAATTAAATATTTTTATTAATTTACCCTTAATTAAATGTCTTGAAAAAAGAGTAGTTCTTTAACAAAAGCTACTATTTAAATAAGCATAAAATTGGGAGGAAAAAAAAAAAATTCTTGATTTTGTGATCAAATGGAGGGAGCATTACACTGGACAAGAATAACGTGAAGTTCATGTTACATATATAAACAAGTGCTTGATAGAAAATAACATGAAAATTGAAGAAGTGTCAATAACTAAAGGAATATGGAAAAAAAAAAAAAAAAAATGAAGATGGGTGTAAGTTGGAGGGTAAACAGATCTTTTTAATTAATGCTAATAACGGAGGGAGTAATGAATGATTCGTAGTCAAAAGAGAATAATGGAATAGGGATTTAAGTTGATATTCTCAACCACATAGGAGGGTGAACATATTGAATGCTCATTATGTTTCTATTCCCATACTCTATATAACTTACCCAAAACCCCTGTACACCAAATCAACATTTAACAAAAAGAGTAGTATTTTCTTACAAAAAAAATGGCTTCTTCATCCAAGATCAATGTCATGATAGCTGTTGTCGTGCTTGTTGTATCAGTAATGTCAATTGGGGAAGCGACAGCAGCTCGGCGTATTCAGCAAATGGGTGGTTTTCCCTCATTCCCTATGCCTACTAATCCAGGTTTTCCTACTCCATCAACTGGCTTTGGTGGTTTCCCCTCATTCCCTATGCCTACTACTCCATCAACTGGCTTTGGTGGCCTGCCTACTTTTCCATTTCCCTCATTCCCCAACACTCCAGCTGATCCCAATGTTCCTGCACAAACCACTACTCCTTGAAATGTGACATCATATCTTCTGATGATGCAATTAACTTCTAATTATGTGTTTCAATTGTTTAAATTAAATTGCTTAGTGAAGCAATTGTTGCTTAATGTTTGTTGTTATTTATGTATCTACCTTCATTATCATTTACTTATGAAAAACATTATCTTAACTTTTTTTCCTTTTCGCCTAACCCAACATTTCCAAGTTGAGTCTATTGGGGTTCTGTTTAAGGAAGAAAAACTAATAAAGGCCATTAAATAGCCAATAATTCAACTAAGATCTAATAATGCAAAACTGTTTTCATTTCACATTCCTCACCCACAATGTCACCTACAATTTTTAAAAATCAATTTGGATATTGTTAAAAAAAGTGGACTTGCTCAACTGACTCTCAAAAGGTAGTTCATGATTCATGAGGTAGAACTGAACAGCACTAAATAAATGAGACAATAAGAAGAGGACCACATAACATAAAGTTTCAACTACCACATAAGAAATAAAATAAAGAATTGAGAATGGGTGAGGATCTAATGTAATGTTAATAAATTAAAACTTAGGTCTAAGTCAACCTTTAAAATAAGTTCACGAGGTAAGCAATGGTCAAGAGTCAGAGACAATGTAAAGTGATACAAAATATTTCTGAGTAGAACTTTATACTTTTAAATTCTTAAGGGTAAATGTAAAACTGTTTTTATTAGTAGTGATTTCTTCAAAGGCATGTAAAAATAAGAATGGACAACTAATATGAGACGGGGGAGTATATAAATGTGCGATTGTTTCACTTGATCAACACCGCGCTACAAATTCACTTGTAAATGTTTTTATTCCGACATGATTTAATGTAGCAAATAGGAATATATGAAGATACAAAAAAGATCCCAACTTTTAAATAAAAGGATAGAAGATGAAAAACATTAAATAAATCACACAACAGTCTTCATGCCAACACAAACAAAGTAGAATTAAACAACAAATGGCTCAAACAGGAGAGCCAAAGCCACTGATGAACACTGACCACATGATACACGAAATGAACAACAATAACAAGAGACTGATAAAGGACAAAGCTAAATCAAGTGTCTTAGATTCAACTCCACCATTGGTGCACTGCAACTCCTTCATCTATTAACTTCCCATACAATGTCAAACATTGCCAATAAGCCCTCTTTTGGCTTCCATTTTCCTCTTCATCATCATCATTATCAACTTCTTCCAATTGGTTTCTGCAGTGCAAGAACAACTCATCTACCAAACATATTGCTTTCTTCTTGATCATTTCCTCCACCACTTCTGCTTCTGCCTTCATCACAACATAGTCCTCTTCCTTCACATTTTTGCTCAACCATTCTGCTGCCCCAACTAAGGCTACTCCATCCCCTGATTGCTCTGACTCTTGGATTTCGACATCCAAGTTGTAAATCTCGAAATCTTGATTATTTGCAGGGTAGCTCCTCTTAAACCATTCTGTTACCCCATTTTTCTCATCAGAAATGAAGACTCTTCGAGGGTAATTCTCAAGAGAATCACCTAGCAACTCAGGAAGAAACTTCATCTTCCTTGAAAATGATTTCAGCAATGCCCTTTTTGGCGGTTCGAGCAACACATCCTCTAATCCTTTCAATGCAACTTTCTTAGCCTCAGGTGTGCTTCCACAAACAATGTCCTTTTTCTGTGAATTCAGCTCAGCATTTCGTACCCCAGTTTTCCTAACTCCCACCAAAGTCTTGTCAAATCGTCGAATATACACGATTCTGTAGTTTGCTAGAGCTTTAAGCTCAGCTAAAGGATCATTGGTGAGTTGAGTTATAACAATGCCACCAATCTTGAGCACACGATCAATGAACTTACTGTTCCATTCAGTCTGAGCAATTGCAAAATCGAATGTCTCATTTGGAATCGAACTCTTGTAATCCATATCCGAATCAAGCACCAAATCAACCGCATTGTCATTCAACAATTCCAAATCTTTGACCAAATGATCATTCTCAGAGCTCAAAACAAGTCCTTTATGCCCCTTCTTAACAAGGCCTTCATCTGCCAAATCGCGAAAAAGA